TTGCATTTCAAGGCAGTTTGGGGACAAACTTTTAGCTCTTTTATGTGCTGAAGTCATTAGTTTGACATTCACCCGGTTCATTATCTCGTCTCTGTCGCCTCGAGGCTCGCATCATGTTCATAAAGCCTCTCTTTAATTGATCGCCTCCAGCGCCGGGATGAAGTTTGTCATGTTCTCCAGAGAACCCAACCAAACCAAACCGTCCATCACCGTCAGTAAACTGTGAGAATATGATTATTTTAGGTTTTGTGTTAAATTAAGTATAAATGAACTAGTATGATTTCTGAATTGAATGTTAGACTATAAATGAGTGATGACGGGCTGAAAGGACTCATGTTCTCTGGTTAAATTGGGCTGGTTTTGGTGACTGTGTGTTCATACAGAGGCAGGTTCCCTCAGGCTCTCGTGATGGACTGAGTTTAATGCGTTCAGACAGTTTGTGTCCTGACCTGCAGCCGGCTCTGCTGTTTTTTTCCTGATGTTTCAGGGTTGAACTGATTCTAGCACTGTTTCTGGGCAGAAATCACTCATCTTTAGACATTTACAGTAGTTGCATCTACTATCCAGTGATAATTATCATGGTGTAAGAACTTTCATTTATGTCAGATTTACGTTCAGTTAGCAGATGTTTTATCCAAATCAATTCATCGTATGGAAACAGTAGCAGCAAACTGCAAAAATATCTTCATATTTTTTAATAATTAGTGATATATATATATATATATATATATATTCTTGTTTTTAAAAATCTTCTATATAGACACACACACACACACACACACATATATATATATGTCTGTATATATATTTTTTTCTTGTTTTAAGCATAAAAAATCTTTAAATTCATTATTTTATTTCCTATTTTATTGCAGCCATTTTTTTCAATTTAAAAGTACATTGCATGAAAACAAGATCACATTTCATTTTAAAATGAGAAATAGTAAGACTTACCGAATACTGTAATGATGATACACAATATCATATCCATAATATGTTACTATGATTGTTTTGGTTTTATGGACGTCTCATCATCTGCATAATATGCTGTTCAGAATATCAACTTTTTGATAAATACATTTATGAATCGAAAGTGAGAATTGAATATTATTCTAAGTCTATACAGTATTACATGTTTTTTTTGTGTGCTTTTATTCTTCTTACTTCATGCGCCATACAGCCAGTTCATTTGTAGATCTGTAAAGATCATAAAATGAAATATGGCAATCATTCAGTACCTGCTCTTAAGTACTGTATTACCATCTATTAAAGTCCTCTAGTGTCTTGTTTAGTGACCAGCAATCATAGCTGCATTGAAATCATCATTTACACAGATGCACGTAAAGCGTCGTGAGCAGTTGGGTGTGAATCTCAAACAGTCTGTTGGCTTTCTCTCACAATGCTCACGGTGAGATCCAGTCTGTCGCTGGACCAAATGAGACCATATACTCCTGTTTTATTCTTCACATTGCAGTTTTAAACAAGCATCCAGTATGCAGGACATATTTTGAGGTTTTCTTGACATCTGGCGACAGTCTGTGTGTTTCTACGTCTCATATTGATTAGTCATTTGAGGGAAGATTTTGTTGAGATTTTCTCTCAGGTCTAAATATAAACAATCATCATGTGGTGGATGAGAAGTATGTGGTTTCTGTTAAGTGATCCCATATTTTCGCCATGGCGTGTGTGTGTGCGCGTGTGTGTGTGTGTGTGTGTGTGTGCGTGTGTGTGTGCGCGTGTGTGTGTGTGTGTGTGTGTGTGCGTGTGTGTGTGCGCGTGTGTGTGTGTGTGTGATGTTATTGGCGCTGACAGTGTGAATGTGAGATTGTGCTGCATTCGTTCGAGGTGCGAGACCCTCGGCACTAGTGTTTGCGTGATTCATCTAATGAACTTTGACATGTTATTGTTTGTTAAAAACTAATTTCCTTTCCTTAGTTTTTTTAATGCGTGTGTGATGCAATATTCAAGGATTCAGGTTTCAAGTCCTCAGTCAGTTCTTTGTTCACACCATCTTCTGTCACTTTGTTGTTAAAAAGATTTTTTCCGATTGCTTCCGCTTGTTTTTTTTTTATTCATTCACTTCACATTATCTAGTACTGGAGATGGTTATCATTGTTATGATCTTGCAATTAATAATTTATAATTCACCAATTAATATCAACATCAATAATAATATAAACATTAACAGTAATATTAATAATACAAATATTATTAATATTAATATCAGTAATATAGTATTCATAATTTTTTACCCACATTTTCCCCTCCTGCAGGAAATTTACTGCTGTACCAAATATTTAAAATTACTAAATATGTAGGCCCATTTCTGTCAGAAATCATAATTTTCTGATTTTTTTAAATATAAAAATTTGAGTTTATATCTCACAATTCTGTTTATATTTTGGAATTCTGACTATTTTTTCTCACAATACTGAGTTTAAATCTCACAATTCTGAATTGTCTTCTTAAAATTGTGATTTTATATCTTGTAATTCTGTTTATATCTTGCACTTCTGTTTTTATATCTCAGAATTTTGAGAAACAAAGTCTGAATTGTCAGATTAAATGTCACAATTATCTTTTTTATATCTTTTTTTCCATGGCGGTATTGGGCTTCTATATATTTCCCTTCAAAATGGAACACTAACACTAGAAATTACAGAAACAAAAATACACAAAATGACTGAAATATTCTGAAGCCTTTTGTACGGTTTCAGAAAGATCCCATATGAATTTAATATGATTTTATGGTTTGTAATTTCGAAGGTAAATTTTCATAAGCATATTATACAAAATAGCCCTGGCTGTTTTATTTTTCTTCATCCATAATATATTTTTTCCCCTGTGGGAGTTTTGTTGTAATGCGGGTTTCTTCATGTCTCACTCTCATCTGTTTCCGTAAATCACAGCGGCACAAATATGATTACAATTGAATTGGCTCTTTTTTTTAAAGCCGTTGTTTTTGGCAAACACCGCTATCTGCTGTCTGCATTGGATTCTGGGATTCAGATTTGTAAAACGACTCGTGTGTGATATTTCAGGAGATAAAACCCTGCACTTTCAGATCAGACACATCTAAAATGAACTGTAATTTCTGTGTTTTTTCACAAGCAAACACCTCCACATTTTCTCGTGAAGTGTAAAAATGTAGTAACACTCTCTGTAGTAAATGTGGTTACCATGGTAAATTCTTGGCGAGGACGTTTTGCAGCGTTCTGGACTCTGGTTCTGGAGTGTGTGAGAGCGGCAGAAGTGATTTTCTCAGCATGTTTGGCTGTATTTATGTCTCTCGCAGTCAGGTGACGGCTGCACATGTCATGTGTTTCCTCGGCTGTCATTATCTGCTCCTCGAGCACATGCGCCTCCACGAGAGACCGCCAACAATACTGCATCTGCTCCCAAAACACACACACTTAAAGCTTTACAGAGGATATTCTTGATCTCACAAAATCTGTTCAAGAGCATGTCCATGTCGCATTTAACCCTAAAATCAAAAAAAAAAAAAGATAATATATATGGAATGATGACAATAAAGAAACAAATGCCTTTTTACTGTCTTATTTGCATTGTGGCAATTAAATACTGTTTTTTTCTGGAAAAATTTATGATGTGTATTTTGTAAATAGTGAGTATTTATGCGTCTTAATAGTAATTTCAATTTTGCTGATTTTAAGTAAATAAATTAGTTGCATTACATTAGAGAGAATCACCACTGGATGGAAAATGTGTTTAAATGTCATCAAAATAATGACAGTGTAATATATATATATATATATATATTATGCCATTTAAGTGCATTTATTATTTTATTATTATTATTATGTTATGTATTATTATTATTATGTAATTTTCTTTATGCAAAATGTGTTTTTTTTTTCTTCTCTATATATATATTTACACGGTAACATTATTTACATGTATTGACATGTAAGCACATTTATTGTTATGTTAATATATTTATATTACATTATATATATATATATTAAAGCAAATATATTTGTCCTGAAATGAGGAAATGAGAAAATTTTCTTTATGCAAAATATGTTTTTCATGTTCTTTTGATATATATATATATATATATATATATATATAATAGAGATATAACACAAATTTATTGGTCTCAAAATAAGCAGTCTTTAACTGTATTTATGTAAAACTTATTTTGTTATTTATTTTCTTTTGATTGTGTGCTAAAAATATGACCTGGCCATGTGTTGATGAGATTCATCCGTGTCCCAGGATTATTCAGCGCTGTATTACTGCTCTAATTCCCCGTTATTAAATTGTCTCGCTCCTCTCGGGTGTAAAGCAGGTCAGTTCTGTTATCTTGCCGGCACGTGCTGAGGAATGATTGACAGGTTTACTTGCCTGTAGCTCCGCCCCCTCCCCTTGAATTCAGTGACACAGAAACATGTGCAAGAAAAGCGCAGTGTGAAATAACTGCGAGGCTCAGAGCTGCAGACTCCCGCCGTTTGTCCTTGAACTGATATTCACACATTAACCAGTGTGTGTTCAGAATAGCAGACTCTTCATACTAGTTCTGCAGTATGCGTGTTTGGACTTTCTGTATACATACAGTGACATATTATAGTTCCCAAAATGTGCAGTTTACACTGTTTGGGTTAATGTATCCGACTTGACCTTCCGCTTCCTATGTGATGACTCAACAGGAAGTAATATAATGCATGATTTTAAACATCTCTTTCACGATTTATTATTTAATTAGACTGCCATAAGACGTTTTTACAGAAAACTGCAAAAAAAAATTTAAATAATCATATTTATTTTAATGAATCAGACGTGCAACTTAATGAGGTCATGTGACAACATTGTTGCATACTGGTATTTTGCATGCTCTTTTTTTGCGCAGTAAGCATTCTAAACACTTGCTCACCTATATAGACTGTTATTAGGTTTATCTTTTATTGTTTTATTAGCAAAGCCATTTTTTAAAATGATCTGCATTTGTCATAATGTCTCTTTTCTTCCTCTCCTCATTTCAGACGCTGCTTTTAAGAAGACCTACATAACTGAGGTGAAGCATCATTTATTATCTGTATATCAATAATTTTGGTCATACAACTCCAGTGTTACTTAATGCAGTCTTTGAGAAGAGTTAAGCATTCAAGTGTTTGGAAAATGTTTTTGATCTGAGGGTTCAGAAATTGAGATTTAAAGAAGTAATTCACCCAAAAATGAAAATTTGCTGAAAATGTGCTCAGGCCTTCCAAGATGTAGATGAGTTTGTTTCTTCATCAGATTTGGAGAAATGTAGCATTGCATCAGTGTCTCAGCAATGGATGCTCTGCAGTGAATGGGTGCCGTCAGAATGAGAGTCCAAACAGCTGATAAAAACATCACAATAATCCACAAGTAATCCACACCACTCCAGTCCATCAGTTAATGTCTTGAGAAGACAAAAGCTGAAACAAGTCCATTATTAAGACGTTTATACTGTCATTTATGGCTAAAATAGTCCATAATCTATAATAACGCTTCCTCCAGTGAAAAAGTGGTCTGGTCTGAATCAGGAGAGAAATCTGCAAGCACCGTGCACCGTTTACAAGCCAAAACAGCTCTAAACAAATATGTGGCTGGATTTTAATGTGAGAGACAACAGGAGATGCACTTTTTCACTGGAGGAAGAGTTGTTATGGATTATGGACTTTTTGGCCAGAAGTGGTTTGAAGTTAAAAACATCTTAATGCTGGATTTGTTTAAGCTTTTGTCTTCTCCAGATGTTAACTGATGGACTGGAGTGGTGTGGATTACTTGTGGATTATTGTGATGTTTTTATCAGCTGTTTGGACTCTTCATTCTGACGGCACCCATTCACTGCAGAGCATCCATTGCTGAGACACTGATGCAATGCTACATTTCATAAACAAAAACTTAAACTACATTTTCAGCAAATTTTCATTTTTGGATGAACTATTTCTTTAAGGTTAATTGAAGTGTCAACTTTATCTCAAATGTTTCTCCTAAAACTCCTCAGGAGAAATAAAAATAGACACAAATGAATCATATAGTATAGAGCTATAAGATGCATGTGGATAGCAGCTCAGATCATTTGGAGATCACCTTGGGAGATCAAATCTCCATTTAATCTCTTTGCTGTCTATGAGAAACAATTGAGACATATTAATGAGATCTCATTTGTGATTTTTCTTCTTCTCAGATGCCGTCGTCCTCGTGTCACTCCAGCTCCGGCCTTGAGAAGAAGATCGGTCACAGGCGGGTCGATGCATCCGGTGAAACCACCTACAAGAAGGTGCATCTTCAGTCACACATCAGCTTCACAGTGTCTCGAGCTCAACTGCAATCTGGTCAAGTTCAATCACAATTTCAGTCATCTTTTACTTCAGGCTGTTGACATATACAGTGTGCTCCAAAAGTGTTCATGTTGGACATCTGGGATTTTTTTCTCATTTAATTCTGGAAATCATCAGACAGCTTTAGGATTTTAAAAATGACTTTTTGACTTCATTGCATATTGCATATACACGTACTACATTATATATGATATAGCATGATTTATTGACAGCTAATGAGACATTAAAATTGCCAAGTCTAATGACTTTATACACAATAATTTCAGTAAATTAAAACATTACTGTGCATTGTCTATTGACACAAAGGGAACCTAACATTCTAGTAATTATTGGTGGTAATCTAAAAATGCTCCAAATATTAGCTAATAAATTGGTTTATTATGAAGAAAAAACTTTTTTAAAACCATTTTCACGTGGTATTTGTAGATAATTATATATATATATAAAATTATATATTTTATCTAAAATATGTATATATTTTATATGAAAAGTTTTTTTTAATTGTATGTTAGCAAAATATTTTTAAAAAAT